TGATTGTAACGTGTTCTGGGCATTCAGAGGTTTTGGGAAGTTGCTAATAGGGCTGTGCAATATATCGAAATAATCAATTATCGCAAATTTGGATATCCAATATACATATCTCAGTGGTATGTAGTAAATGAGCAATTTAATACAAAAATATATTTGTGTGCCTGCCACTATAGCACACCTTCTAAAAGAGCACATCATGTTAATGTGCAACTCCTAATGGACATGGTGGATTTCTTGTTCAAAAATCTGTAACGATTTAGTACAGATGCTAAAATACTGTTTAGCTTAGCAATCAAACTATGTTAGGGAGAACCTACTCAACTCTGTTTCAAGTTTTTTTTTTTCTTGATTGTTCTAGATGTTTACAGGTTGATGAAACTAATGCAAAATGGTAATTGATTCATTTATTTTGGTTTGTTTAGTTTTATGCAACAGTAAAACAGCTGTTCACTTTCAGAAATTATACTGATGCTTCTTTTCCCCAAAAAAAGAAACATTTGTCGGTGATTAATAAAAAAAAAATCATATTGCATATTGAATATCACAATTGTCTTCAATATCACACAGCCCTATTGCTAATACAGCCCTATTCTCTATGTTTTTATGGTACTCTGTAGGGCTGTATATCGAGTTTGATACTTTTTAGGCACAAACTGTAGTGCTACTATTGAGTATCAAAAAAGGTTTTGTCATTCTATATCAAATTTTAGTATCTAAAATGGTTCAATTTTGTCAGGTTAAATCAAGTTAGTTTGATGGCAAATTTATGGCAAAAACAAAAGAAAATAAGTGACCATTGATGCAGTTAAATTGATTCTGCATGAGGATAACAGATTACATGTTAGATGAAGATAATGTAATTTTAATGAATTTATTTATTCATTTATTTATATGATTGGTTGGTTGGTTGGTTCGTTCATTTATTTTTCTTTGGCTTAGTCTCTTATTTACCAGGGGTCGCCACAGCAGAATGAATTGCCACTGTGATGTCATTTTATTAAAGCTAATTATATAAATTGGTATTGAAAAAAGTAGCATTCAGAAACTGTTATTGAATTCAAAGTATCTGTATCAGTATTGCATTGAAAATACCCAGCCCGAGTATTCTGGGTTTACATCATAAGGGTTGGTGAGGTGTTTGATCTGTTTCATTCATTCTGAGCTTGCTCTATGGTTTCTAATGTATTCTGGATGGCTGCTTGCTATTTGCTATGATATTCTGCATTACTAGATGGTTGCTAGGGTGTTTTTTAGGTGGCTGCTGAGGTGTTCTTGGTTGTTGTTGCCTCACTTACCTGGGTGTTTATATATTTAATTTATGGGAATTCAGTGATTTTTACAGGATTCTTAGTTTTTGTATTGATTCGCTATATATGATTGATAGATTGCTCTTAGGTGTTTGTTTATGAGGGTTTGTTATTAGTAGTTGCTTGGTATTTGCTAGATATGGGTTGATTCAGTTGCATTTCTTAATAGTTGTAATAAAGCTGTAATATGTTATTAATAGAGCATTGCTAGGGTGCTCTAGTTTGTTGCCTGAGCATTGCTCTAGTGTGGCTATTGATTATTGTGTGTGGTTGCTAAGACACAGCTATGTTATTCTGAATTGTTGCTAGATTGCTGTCGCATGGATGCTAGAGTGTTTTTGAAGTAGGCCATTTCTGTGTATTTTACTATAGGGTGTTCTGTCTGGTCACTAATGGTTTCCTCTCTAGTTCGTCCTTTACACTCCTCCTCATGGGAATCCCCATTTTGAAGTGTGTTTTCTTTGGTCAATTTGACTTAGGAATTTTATCTGAACAGACCCTCAATAATGACAGAGGTAACAACTTTTTCATGTACACTGCAGGTAACAATATGTCTTACAACAGGATTTGGTTGTAACACCACAACAACAGCTTGCAATTTCAATACATTGTAGTTTCAGTTGCTCAGAGGTTTTCAGTCAATTTAGGGTGTTCTGCTAGTAGTCGACACTTGGGTAATGTAATCAATGACATATTCTATACTCTCAGAAAAAAAAAATGGTTCACTGTTGTGCCAAAGAAGGTAGAAACCCTTGTCACAGGGCCAGTACCTTTTTATGGAACAGAATTGTACCTTAAGACAAAGAAACAAATTTGTATCATTGCAGTTTGTACCTTTAAGGACATGATTTGTACAATGGGAAACCAAAATGTACCTTTAGTTTTCAAAACCTGCAGATACAATCAAAGGTCCAAAATCTGATCCATAAAGGTACCACCACAGAGACAAGACACTTTGTACCTTAACAGTGTCAAAATGCTTACCAAACATATATTTATAATGCCTTAAATGTTTAGTTTACAATACCTTTAGTTTTGTTTTGCCAGTAGTTTTGTATTGTATAATTTATTAATTAATGTTTATAAGCTTTATTAAACATGCTTTTAAATGATGATTCATGCTTTAATATGGACATTATTCACAAAATCACTTTGCATTTTCAGTCATATTTAGATTCATAGGTATTGTAATAAAGAAAAAGTTGTTTGACACATTTGTACCTTTTATATGAGAACAGATGTGTATCTTCATTTTAGTTGTAGCATAAAAGGTACAGAACAGGATCATAAGAGGTCTTTTCTGTATCATATTAGGTATAACTTTTACAAAGGTACAAAATTGTTCCTTAAGGAATATTATTAGTACCACCATGTACCTTTTTCTGACAGTGTAGCGAACTTGACTAGGAATTTAGCTAGGGAGTTTTGCAATTAAATGCAGCCTAAATTGTTTCTTTTGGGATTTCAAAGTAGCAGCAGCTGTCATTACGTTAGCTGGGTCATTGCTCTAGTTGTTTTAGTTTGTTGCTGGGGCATTTATTTGTGGTTGTTTTCGTCCTGCTCACGTAAATCCAGCAGAGGCTGCTGTTGACTGACTGACTTACGGACTGACCAACTGACCGATCCACCCATCCCACCCTCCCCCTTCCCTAAACCCAACCAATAGTGTTTTAAAAAGCACCAATTGACCAGCACCCATGCCTTTCCCTAAACCCAAACGAAGTGTTTTAAAAAGCAATACAGAAAAAGAAAACCGCACAGATTTTTCCCACATTCTCACCCTGTTATTTACATGTATATTTTATTTTTTAGCTTTTGTTTTTGTTTTACCCACTTTCTGGAATTGTTCTTCACCAGTCTCGAAACCTGTTGTCGCAGTCAACTCTGCAATTTGCCTTAAGTCCGCTGACGTACATGTAGAGCTACCAGACAAACTGGTAACAGAAAAATTGTCCATACGGAGGTAAGCAGTCAGCTGTTAAGCGAGAAAAGGAACAGGGTCATGCCCCTCCTTACCTCTAGCAACATAATTCGTGATCTCCAGAAATGTTTACAGGGCTATGTTCTCAGAATGAGCCTATGTTGGTCGCCTAACAGCAAGAAGGTCGCTGGTTCGAGTCCAGGTTGGGTCAGTTGTCATTTTTGTGTGGAGTTTGCATGTTCTCCCCGTGTTCGCATGGGTTTCCTCCAAGTACTCCGGTTTCTCGTAACTAGGTGACCCTCAACCGTTTTCTCAAGAGGATGACAAACAGACAAATCATTGCTGCAGCTCCGATGCAAGTTTATAGAGAAAAGTAAAAAACACAGCGCATGCAGTGTTTGGATGCGCTGTGTTTGTCTGAGGTAATTAGTATGCTGTTATTACTGAAATGTGTATATTTCATACAAATTGTAAAGCAGATTGGTTAGTTCTACTTGTTTACATGCATGTTGCTTGCACAAGTGGCGCGCATCCATTTGAAATGACAAACTTACACCCTAAGCTTATTGGCACTGCTTCCAAGGCGTGTGCTCAGCAGCCAAATTTTAATAAAACTATAGCGCTTTATACTGAAACTACATACCAAATCCTTTTTTAATCGATATTGACAATGGTGTTCGGTCAATGAATATCGATACCGATTTTATCGCCCAGCCCTACTCTTATTCTTATTTATTTATTCTTGGAATTACTTTGATGCACTCCTCTACAAGATTATTCCAATCAAAGTTAACGATTTTATTCCAAATGGAGCTATTCAAGTCATCTGCTGAAATTGTATTCATATCGCAACTAAATCGCAGCCAAATAAAATATCGCAATGTCCAATTCTTCCAATATCGTGCAGCCCTGTTGAACATCCCCAAAAGCCAGTGTCAATGTGCATTTTAGTGTTTGAATGTCAATGAATGTTTGTTTGGACACCTGCAGATGGAACAGATTTGTCCAGCATGTATTCAAATCACATAAACTGCCAGTTGCTCTCAGTGCATTATTGTTTTTAGTCGAATTGCATATTTACATTGCGAAAGAGTCTCCTTTAACCACTTTTCTTGCGATGCAATTACAAATAATCAGCCTCTAGTTTCACACATTGAGATTTATAACTCCCGAAAAGACACACGTGATAAATTATATGGATAAATAGACAGATCTACATGCCAAAATAAGGCCTTGTTTGTCTCGTTCCTCCATAAATCTTCCTCATCGCAGCTCCTCATTAATCCTCTCCTAGTAACAAAGCATGCTAGCCATTGAAAAACTATGCAAGGACTGAACGTGTCTCATTACTAAAGAATGTGTTAGCCATGGGAGGATGACAGGTCTGATGGGCAGTTTCTCGCAGCATGTTTACTGCACATTGCGACCTAATGGTTTGTCCACACTTGGCTGGAGTTTAAAGGCCTGGATTGTTTACTCGGGTCCAGCTTGAGCATTTAGCGCGACATTCTTTCTCATGTATGTAGTTCTGGCGTATCAGAGGGGTTTTGATACCAGATGTTTACCCTTTGGGGACTCGTAAATGATTTCCAGATATCTCTCCTTTTCTGTTCCCATCCAGCTTAGCTGTGCCGTCAGCAGCCTATGAAGTCAAAATATGCGCTCAGTGCCAAAAGATTATGCAAGTTTAGTTAAATGCTGAATGAAGTGTTTGCTGGAGGTTTGGATTACTTATGTAACAGAAACTCCATAACTACCATCCTCTTTTTCAGGTGTGGATCTAAAGCTGAAACCAGTATGAGCACTATACAGTAGCCTTTTCTTTGGACATTCGCAGACGGAGGACATTGTAGAGAGACACAGAGAGGCGGCAAGGATGGCTGTCTTCAAGGTGGATAACGTTGAAGACCTTTATGAGATCGGAAATGTGTTGGGAAGGTAAAGACATTGGTTCTATTTGATATACTAATTTTATTTTTTCTTTAAACTTACCAAAAAAGATGTTACTTTAAGGTTTGGGGTTAAAGAAAACAACTCAAAACCATTGAATACATGAAGCAGATTCTAGAAGGTGTAAATAACATGCAACAACTTGCCCACTTTGACCTGAAGGTAGGAAGGAAGTCTATATTAGCCTTTAACTAAATATAAACTTCACTTGTCACAAACCAGTTTGAGTTATTGTAAAGATATCATGAAGATTGTTGGAAACAAGCAACCATTAGCTATGTTTCCATCTACCTATTTTTAAGCGCATTTTGGATATGAGCATAAAAAAACGGTTGATGGAAACATCAGGATGCACATAAATTTAGAAAGTGCGCATAAAAAACTTAGCTGAATAAACTTTTTATTCGATAAGAAAATATGCACACAAACCACGATGGATACACTATTACCGCACAAACTCCAGCATGCACATTAAAAAAAGTAATGTGATTTTGTTATAAGAGATCATGTGATGATAAAAATGTGTGAATGGATAAACCAGCAGGCTGAGCACATTATACAACCCAAGCTCATTCTGGAAACGTAGCCCCGCGCCACTCCGCTCCTCCTCTTTGCGCTTGCCGGCCGACGGCTCGCCTCCGAGTGGAGGGCTTTCCCGATGCATTCAGTTTGTCCGCTTAGCTCACAGCGTTGCGTCGGCGGAGCGGAGGCCCCGGAGAAGGAGCCGAAGCCGGCCGCGGTGGACGACGACCGGGATCGAGTCCGGGGAACAGCAGGTTCCGTAAATCAGGTAAGATGAAAAACGGAATCCGAAAAATAAGGGCGAGAACGCGGCGGGATCCGAAAACACGGTCGAAGACGAGGGCTTTTGCTTTTTTTTTTTCCGATCCGCCGGCTTTTCGCGCGAGAACGGTGCGGGCGCGAATGCCGCGCGCTCCCGAGAGGCGCCCGAGACGCGAAAAAGCACGCACAAAACCGCTCGAATATGTACCTCCCGGGACGTAAATCGCGGTCCACAGAAAAGTCCGCGGGGCTACGTTTCCACAATGAGCCCGGGTTGACATTATAAAACATCTGAAATGTTGTTTTGGTCATTCTAAAACGCCTTACCGTTTAAGTATTAGTGTTACTATATTATTAATGACCTCCAGAATCAAGAGCGTCTGTGCTCTGCGTCTGACACCTTTAAACGCCACCACAAGTTCACTGCGTGTCAGGATTGCCTTCTGAGGCGCAAGTCATTTATTAGATGAAGAAAAAATTGTTGCAGCTTCTCCTACTGCAACAAAATCAGTTTTTACAGTTGATATCTGGCGCCAGTTAATCAGGAAGTGACAATTTTGTTCACTTTGATCCGTTGGATGGAAACGCAGCTTTATTTGCACGTCTAATCCAGTTTTGCACATAAAGTTCATTCGCATTTTTGGATGGAAACATAGCTATTGATTTCGATAATGTTTGAGTTTCTACTGGTTTCCAGCATTCTTCAAAATGTCCTTTTGTTTTGAATAGACAAATAATTGAAACTGGTGTTTATAAAGAGTGAGTAAATGAGTGAATTTTCCCACTTAGACCTATTTGAATGACAGTAAACACATATTTGATACTCTCTACGCATCAAAGAATCTTTGGAATGTTTTCAAAATTAGTAATAGCAAGAAATATTGGTTGATAATTGTTTTTTTTTAGTATTATGGCTTTACATAGTCTTAAATATACAATATTGATTTTACAGTATGTGCACTTACACATACTGTACTTAAACAGTGTACCTATCTAAGAAAGTATTTGTTATCTAAAATCATTACGCAGGTTAAGGTTAGGTTTAGGGGTAGGTTTAGGGAGAGTATTATAAATAAAGTAAATTAATTGAATAATTATTAATTTATTAATTAATAATATTATTAATTAATAATAAAGTTATTAAGCAATGATTGTAATTGCCGGCACGTAACACTATATTAAGAACATCCACGTTTATACATGTGGAACAGAAGTTTAAAATAAAGTGCTACTTAAATATTTCTTGAGCAGCAATTATTATATTTGAATAATTTCTGAATAAGGCGGTGGCTAGGTCACCTCACAGCAAGATGGTCGCTGGTTAGAGTCCTGGCTTGGCCAGTTGGCATTTCTGTGTGTAGTTTGCATGTTCTACCTGTGATCATGTGGGTTCCTCCATGTGCTCTGGTTTCTCCCACAGTCCAAAGACATGCGCTATAGGTGAATTGAATAAACTAAATTGGCTGTAGTGTATGTGTGTGAATGAGTGTGTATGGGTGTTTCCCAATACTGGGTTGCAGATGGAAGGACATCCACTGTGTAAAACATATGCTGGATAAAGTATGAGGTGCCGTGTAGGATTTAAATCAAACTTCGCTTGTCAACACACTCATAAAACACATGCATATATACTTTTAAATTGCTCATGTATACACCTATACTATTAAAAGTTCAAAACAACATATATGAAACCTGCGCATATACATATTAACTTGACGCATGCATACACCCACATACACACGAAAATACATATAAACTCAATCCTCGCATAAAGACCCACATTAATACATGCAGATACATATATATTTGCTGTATATATGTACCTGTACACACTTGCATATACATATAAACTCGATTCTTGCAGAAACATCCACATTAACACGCACATACATATAGACTCACAGCATGCAAACACACCTATACATTTATATATATAAATATGTATATATGTATATATGTATGTATATATATATATATATATATATATATATATATATATATATATATATATATATATATATATATATATATGTATATGTGTGTGAATTGCTGTCATTTTTGAGTAGCTCGCTCTCTGCAACTCTCACATAGTTGTCCACTGAAGCAAAGCAGGGCTGTGCATGGTCAGTACCTGGATGGGAGACCACATGGGAAAGCTAGTTTGCTGCCGGAAGTGGTGTAAGTGAGGCCAGCAGGGGTGCTCAACCTGTGGTCTGTGTGGGTCCCCCACAGGCCCCAGTATGTTGAAGGGGACTCAATACTGCATATACAGTAATCACCTTCTTTTGGATGAGACGTTAAACCAACGTCCTGACTCTCTGTGGTCATTAAAAATCCCAGGATGCCCTTCGAAAAGAGTAGGGGTTTCACCCCGGCATCCTGGCCAAATTTATCCACTGACCTCTGACCATCATGGCCTCCTAACCATCCCCATAGCATAATTGGCTTCATCACTCTATCTCCTTTCCACCAATCAGTCTGGCGCATTATGGCTGACGTTGCATTATCCGGGCGGATGCTGCACACAGTTGTTATTTTTATTGATTTTTTTCAAGCTCAAAGTATACTTTGTAAAACTAGAAAAGAAGAACAGCAAACTACTTAACAATGCTAGAAAAATAATAGATGTGTGCATTGATGAACATTTAGTTACTATTGTTTAAACTAATATATATGTTTAAAATATATTTGGCATAGAAACACCAATAGAGTTTTTGCACCATATTGATAACAATAACTCTAGATCTGGAGGCTGATAGCTGATATTTTAGCTGATAAAAATAAATAAGCGTTTTTCTAATTTTTCTGCATGAATGCAAAAACGAAAGGCAGACACGTACAGTGAACAACTGACTTTAATTTCAATTCAATTTCAATTCAATTCAATTCAGCTTTATTTGTATAGCGCTTTTACAATGTATGTTGTGTCAAAGCAGCTTCACATAAAAGATCATTGTAACTGGATCAGGGTAGTTCAGTTTTTAGTGTTTAAGTTCAGTTCAGTTTAGCTCAGTTCAGTGTGGTTTGAAGTCATTATTGAGAGTCCAAACACTGAAGAGCAAATTCATCGATGAGTAGCTTTTCAGATCCTGAACCATGCAAGCCAGTGGCGACAGCGGAGAGGGAAAAAAAAACTTCACTAATAGGGAAGTGAAGAAAAAAAACCTTGAGAGAACCAGTCTCAGTTCGGCACGACCATTTTAATTTCTCCGCAGGCCAAAAGTCTTGTGCAGAGCTGCAGTCTCAGCAGTGGAGGCTGAAAGCTGGACTCAGCGAAGACTCCCTGGAGCGTCACTGGAATCAGTCTCATGCTCTCCACTCCCCCTAAAGCTTAAATTTAGAAAAGTTTGAACTGATCTGAACTTTATTAGTTAAATATTTATATCTATATAGATAAAATAAAATTAAAAAAATTCTTAAATAAAGCAACCAAATCACTGAACATTAACCAAAATCAAAGTAACAGTAAAAAAAACTGGTGGGCAGCAAGCATGTCAAGTGGTTTAAACCTGCAGAAACAATAGATAATTGATCAGCTGATCAGACCAATAAGAATAACATAACAATTAGAATTTCATTCATTCATTTTCTTTTTTAAGCTTAGTCCCTTTTTTATCAGTCCTGGGTCACCGCAGTGTAAAGAACCGCCAACTTATCCAGCATGTTTTTACGCTGCGGATGCCCTTCTTGCCGCAACCCATCTCTGGGAAAAAAATAGAATTTATTAGACAATATTATTTGGCTTCTTATATATCATGCATCCATAATCTTTATAAATGGATAAATATTTTTGATTCACATGTGTTTTGTTTGTGTACACTAATAAAAGAAACATATTCTATTGATTGCTGCATTCCAGTATGTGTATTCTATCAAATAAATAACTGTAAAAGGCTGAAGTATACATTAGGTTTTGGATAGTACCATGTTAAATAAAACTAAACTCCATTGGTTCTGTCTCTTGCCACACTAGTGGTCACTTTGGGCAGGTGCGAGAGGTGCGGGAACGGGCCACGGGTGTTCTGTGGGCAGGGAAGTTCTTGAAACTGAAGAAAGGTGCAGGAAGCAGGCTGGGGCTGGAGAGGAAGAGTGTGGAGAAGGAGGTGGAGATCCTGCAGAGCCTTCAGCATCAAAACATCATGGCTATCAGAGACGTCTTCGAGAGCAGGGCAGAGATCGTCCTCATCGTTGAACTGTAAGCATGTGTTTGCTTTTCTGAAATAAAGAAATATGTAGAAAAAAAAAGAAATATACAGCTAAGGCCAAATTGTTCGCTCTCTTATGAATTTTAGTTTGTTTTATAAATGATATTAATTTTTAATATAATAAAAAATTATTTACATATAATATATAAAAATATTATATAACAGAACAAGAAATGTTTTACAGTATTTTCGATAATATTTTTCTTTTGGAGAAAGTTTTCTTTGTTTTATTTCGGATGGAATAAAAACAGTTATTTAATTTTTATGAAACCATTTTAAGGTCAAAATAATAATAATATGAATAATAAAAATAATATACATAATATAATGACTTGCCTAATTACCCTAGCTTGCCTAATTAACCAAATTAACCCAGTTAAGTCTTTAAACTGCACTTTGAACTGAATACTAATATCTTTAAAAATATTTAGTAAAATTGTATTTACTGTCATCATGGCAAAGATAAAATAAATCAGTAATTAGAAATAAGTTATTAAAACTATTATGTTTAGAAATGTGTTAAAAAATTCTTTCTGCCAAATAGAAATTGGGGAAATGAATATAAAGGGGAGATAATAATTCAGGAGGGCTAATAATTCTGGCTTCAACTGTGTATGGAGACACTGTGAATGATACATGAAAATAGAAAGAATGTTCATCATTCTACATTCATTCATCAAAGAATGTTCTATTAAATTCAAGAATTTAAGATTTGAACTCACAGTAGTGGGAAGTAAATTTGCAAATCATAAAAATTCATTTAATGTGTCTGACTTATTTTCATCATTAAGAGTTTATTTTTCTTTCTTGCTACTCTCTAATAATAGAGAATAAAATAGTTTTTTCTCTAATAATTCCGCTTTTTTCTTAGAATTGTGACTGTTTGTTATAATTGAAATTTATAATTTCACAATTTCATTTATTCATTCATTTTCTTTTCGGCTAAGTCCCTTTATTAATCTGGAGTTGCCACAGTGGAATGAACTGTCAACTTATCCAGCACATGTTTTACACAGCGGACACAGCCACAACCCATCACTGGAAAACCCATACACACTCATTCGCACACATACATACACTATGGACAATTTGGCTTACCCAATTCACCTATAGCGCATGTCTTTGGACTGAGGGAGAAACCGGAGCACCCAGAGGAAACCCACACGAACATGGGGAGAACATTGCTCCACACAGAAAATACCAACTGACCCGCCCGAGGCTCCAACCAGGAGCCTCCTGCTGTTCTTTCGACAGCACTACCTACTGTATCCCTGAGTCCCCCAGTTTCACAATTTATAAACTCAAACAGAATTGAGAGATAAAAAGTCGAAGATCTGACAAAAGTAGTCCTACTAGCGAGATGTTGATATAATGACTTTATAAATCAAAAATATGAGATATTAACCTGGAATTCTGAAAAGAAAAAAAGAACTGTGTGATATTCCTTGCAAAAATACATGTTTCACCTAAAAGTACCAAAAAAATATATATATATGTTTAAAAGTTTTGGGTACTTTTATGTGAAATTTATATGTTTTTGCCAAGGATTATATAATCTAAAATACTATTATTTAGTATTATAAATTGTAAGATATATATTTTTTGTATTATGGAGGCACGGTGGTACAGTCGTTAGCACTGTCACCTCACAGCAAGAAGGTCGCTGGTTTGAGCCCCGGCTGGGTCAGTTGGCATATCTGTATGGAGTTTCCGTGTTCTCCCCGTGTTCCTATGGATTTCCTCCAAGTGCTCTGGTTTTCCCCACAGTCCAAAGACATGCGCTATAGGTAAACTGAATAAGCTAAATTGGCCGTAGTGTATGTATGTGAATGAGTGTGTTTGGGAGTTACCATTACTGGGTTGCAGCTAGAAGGGCATCCGCTGTGTAAAACATATGCTGGATAAGTTGGCTGTTCATTCTGATGTGGCGACCCCTGATGACTAATGGTACTAAGCCAAAGGAGAATGAAGGAATATTTATTTTATATGTTTAGGGCCTCTTTTTAGGTTATAAAACTATTCCAATTAAAACAATGGACAATTTTAGCTTACAATCTAAATACTATATTTAATTTAGCATCCTTTTTTATTTTAACTCTCTTAATGTAGGATAAAGGGTGGTGAACTGTTTGATTTCATCGCTGAGAAAGAAAACCTGACAGAGACGGAGGCCATTGAATTCATGAAGCAGATTCTGGAGGGTGTAAACTACATGCACCAAAAAAACGTTGCCCACTTTGATCTGAAGGTATGAAGCATGTTTATATTTGTCTTAAAACAAAGAGTGAAACTAGCAACCGCATGAACAGTTTCTAGTGACCTGCAATATTTAACACTTCATGTAGCAAGCATGCACTTCCTATATAGATTTCAGCACGGTAAAGAGGAAGTGTACCTTTCTCTCACAAACTGTCACCTCTGATTAAATGGTAGCACAAAACATAATCATAAAAAGCCATGATTAGTGTTTTTTAAATACGTTTATTTAATAAATGTGCATCAGAGAAAATTAAACTCATTGAAAAGCTTTAAAAACCTGCTTTATTATTACTTACTTAATATTTAGGAACTTGTTGGTTGTTCTCTAATTTTAACCTTCACTGTAATTTACAGTAAAAAATCACAAAATGTGTTGTTTTTACTCTTCAGCCGGAGAATATCATGCTGTCAGACAAGCACGATCCTCATCCAGACATCAAGATCATTGATTTTGGCATGGCTCATCACTTCATTCAAGGAGAAGAGTATAAGAGTTTAGGTGGAACCCCTCAGTATATTGGTGAGTCGTTCAGTATGTGTGGTTTTGAATTCAAATGATGACGTCACATGACTTACCCATAAATGCAAATGCAGACCCGAATGCTTGTCCAATACCACAAGTATGAGATATGCATTACCACTTCAACACTGCGGATTACAATAAAGCAGTAATATTATGAAATATTATTGCAATCATTGAAAAATAATGCTGTAGGTATTGGGAAAAATGTATTAAAAGTTTTGTGATTATATTGTTGTGATTGCCAGTGGAGTTTTCTCCACTGACGATCACTTCCTGTAGTTTGTGCCAATGCTAGCGGAGTTTCCTTTATCGGAGACTGCCACTGAGCGAACTCCAACTCCCAGAAACCCCTGCGCTCATCAACACTGGTAACAGCTAATAATAATCCAGACAATCGCAAACAGACACAGCTGCTGCTCATTTACACTGATTACAAGGACTATAAATATACCTCACTTTCATTCATTCAGGGCAGAGTCTTGTTTATTCCATGAACATTACAAAGCGTTTCTCCTGGTTTCTTTTCCCGTGTTTTGACCCCCGCCTTGTAAGTTTGTTCATCATTGTCTGCCGCCTTTCTTCTGATCATCTGCCTGTGCTTCTGACTACGCCTCTGGATTGCCTGTGTACATCTGTTTGCCCCTGTGTTGACCATTGCTTTACTGACCTTCCTATTAAACTTGCATTTGGATCCGCAAGTCTGCTCTCAGCATCTCCTACGTTACAAATATAATCTAATTTAAAAATAGAGGTATATTCAGATCATGTCTTAATTATCTGTATGAATCATTCTAGTGGAATCATTTTTGTAACTGAAAGAGGCTTTCACAGAGGTGCGAATCCAAATGCAGATTTATTTACAATGATCGTAAATCCGGCAAGCGTCAACAACAGGAGCAATCGGGTACATCCAGAAGTCATTGTCGATAAAGAGGCAAGTAGTCAAAAGGTAAGATAACCTAGAAACGAGGCTAGGAGTAGATAACATAAAAAAGAAAAATCGCTGAACACGGCTAGACAAGAAAATTAATATGCTACGTAAAATTGCAGATTCGTTTTTACTAGCAAAACAAACAACACTCAGCAATGTGTGTGAGCAAACTTGGTGTATAAATAGTCTGTGTAATGAGTCCTTGAGCAGCTTCAGCTGTGAGTGTTTGCAATCAGACGAGATTAGGAACCGGTGTGTGTGCGTAGTGCACGCTGTGATTTGTAGTCCATTTGGTAGCAGAAGTTGTAATTCTCCAGCGATCCGCAGTAGTTTGATCGCTGGTGACTGAAATGGTTTTGTTACAGTTTATTCATTAATTCATTTTCTTTTCGGCTTAGGTATTAAACTGAGGTCGCCACAGCAGAATGAACCTTCAACTTATCCAGCATATGTTTTATGCAGTGGATGCCCTTCCAGCTGCAACCCATCTCTGGGAAACATCCATACACACTCATTCACACTCATACACTACGGACAATTTAGCCTGCCCAATTCACCGGTACTGCATGTCTTTGGACTATGCAGGGAGAACATTCAAACTCCACACAGAAACGCCAACTTACCTAGCTGAGGCTCGAACCAGTGACTTACTACCTACTACCACTACCCACTGCGCCACCGCGTCGCGCCACCGGTTCATCTGCATAGAAAAAGAAAATTAACATTTTACTTTTTGAATGACAATAACTTTTTAGGACTCAATGATGAGAAAAAAAGTACAAAAAAATGTATTTCAGTATTTCTACTTTAAAATGGAATGTTTAATGCTTTCATGTTGTCATTAATTATTTGAGGAATATATTCTAAGTAAAAATTGTTTCAATATAAGTTCAACATTGTATTGTCATTGGGTGGCATGGTGGCTCAGTGATTAGCATTGTAGCCTCAACGCAAGAAAATCGCTGGTTTGAGTCCCGGCTGGGTCAGTTGGCATTTTTTTGTGTAGTTTGCATGTTCTCCCTGTGTTTGCGTGGGTTTCCTTTAGGTGCTCCGGTTTCCCTCACAATCCATAGGCATGCACTAAATTGGCCTTAGTGTATGAGAGTGTGTGATTGGGAATGTGTGCATGGGTGTTTCCCAGTACTGGGTTGCAGCTGAAAGGGCATTCGCTTTGTAAAACATGGAATAGTTGGCAGTTTATTTTGCTGTGGTGACTCCTGAAAAAGAGACTAAGAAATAGAAGACTGTAATAGAGAGAAAACCAAAATAATGAGTGTATTGCCATTTAGACCATTTCCCCCAGAAAATGACAGTTGATCATAATAACAAAAGTATTAACTTGTGTGAAATAAACCCAAAAATGAAAATTCTGTCATTAATATGTCACCTTCATGTCATTCCAATACCCTGAGAGCTTTGTTCATCTTTGAAAAATCAGTTATTCCACCAAATATTGATTTCTTAACTCTTCTAAATTTAAAACATAGTTTCTAAGCTAAAAATGGCTCTAAAAGGCAATGTTTTTTTATTTCAAATTTGGAAGAAATTCTCGTTAGTAGTTAACAGAATAAAGCACAACCTTACTATAAATTATAAATCCACTGAAACAGGGAATTTTCAAGTGGTCTCATTTTTTTCTATCTCTATACATAGATAGATATACATTTTAATAAACCATTTTTAAACAGATATTAAATGTTTAAAGTATTAGTTCACCCAAAATTGAAAATTCCATCAGTATGTCACAATCATGTTATTCCAATCCCCAGAGACCTGTTCATTTCAGAAGACAAATGAAGATATTTTGCATGAAACTGGAGAGCTCCCTCATCCTCCATAGACAGCAATGATCACAAGACAAGACTTGAGTGGTTCAACTTTAGTTATACAAAGCTCCATGAACACTTTTGGGTGTCAAAAAATATTTTGTTCTGTAAAAGTCTTATAATCTTTTCTGTCTATGAAGGATGAGAGAGCACTCAAATACCATCTTAAAATATCTTCATTTGTGTTCTGAAGGTGAACAAAAGTCTTGGGATTGGATAGACATGCAGATGACTCATTAACAACAAAATTTTCATTTTTGGGTGAACTAATTTTTTAAAGTTAACAAACCTCCATAAATAAAGATGTGAGAAAGTGATAAAGTGGACATCAAATATCTGTGGTTAAACAGGTTGAGTTTTTAACAGCTAACAGTAAATGTGTGAACAGCCAGTTGTGTCTTTTTTATTAGTATATTTTAAGTAAAAATTGTTTCAATATAAGTCATCCATTTTTATTGTCATTGGGCGGCACGGTGGCCCAGTGGTTAGCACAAAGCAAAAAGGTCGCTGGTTTGAGTCCTGGCTAGGGCAGTTGGCTTTTCTTTGTGTAGTTTGGCATGTTCTCCCTGTGTTTACGTGGGTTTCTTCCGGGTGCTCCAGTTTGCCCTACGATCCAAATACTTGCGCTAAATTGGCCTTAGTGTACGAGTGTGTGTGTTCGTGAATGTGTGCATGGGTGTTTCCCAGTACTGGGTTGCAGCTGGAAGGGCATTCGCTGTGTAAAATATATGCTGGAATGAATAGTTGGTGGTATATTCTGCTGTGGCGACCTTTGAAATAAAGACTGAAGGAATGAATGTATCGTCATTTAGACCCCCAGAAATTGACAGTTGGTCATAACAGCAAGAGCATTAATTTGTTTTAATTGAAAATCAGGGATATTCCAACAAATATTGTTTTCTTAACTCTTCTAAATTTAAAACATCATCAAAGTCATCAAAAAATGACTTACTGAAATCTAAAAATGTCTCTAAATGACAATGTTTTTATTTAAAATCTGGAAGAAATCCTCATTAGTAAACAGAATAAAGCAAACCCTTACTATAAATCATAAATTCACAGAAACAATGAATTTTCAAGTGGTCTTCATTTTTTCCATAGCTATTCACCTTATTCTCTGCTGACAAGTGGGCACTGCCATTTGAATCTTTTTGGCTCGGGACTTCCGGTCTCATTCACTTCCATTCATTTTTTGACAGTAAAAACTGCTCGTTATGCTGCTTGATGTTGCAATTTGATATTTTCTTATTATATTATTCTACTTGGTCTGTATAGTCATGCAAACATTTGTTTGAAAAGCGAGTAGTTTGACAATTTTCTGCCGTTTATTATTACTTGTCATTTCCCCCATTAGGAGACTGAATCGAAAGGTCTAAGACAATCGCAAAAACAGGCGCACTTGGGCATTTTAGAATAAGGTCAATACATATTTTAATTTTTAAATGAATAATTTTTATCATTTTAATAAACAATATGTTAATATATATATATTTAATACTTACTTATTAGTTCACCTAAAAAAGTCACCTTCATGCCATTCCAATCCCCTGAGACCTTGGTTCATCTTCAGAACACAAATGAAGATATTTTGCATGAAATTGGAGAGCTCCCTTAATCTCCATAGACAGCAATGGTCACAAGACATTCAGAATCCAGAAAAAGAACCAAACTTATTGTCAAAACTTCCCGTGTGACTTCATCGGTTGAACTGTAATCAGCTCCAAGAACACTTTTGTGTGCCACAATATTGATAAAAACATGTTCTGTTAACCTCTTATAGCTGTTTCTGTCTATAAAGGATGAGAGAGCTCTCGAATATCATCTTAAAAAACCTTTATTTGTGTTCTGAAGATGATATTCGTGAGCTCTCTCATCTTTCATAGACAGAAACAGCCATAAGAGGTTAACAGAATTTTCATTTTTACTTAAATTAACCCTTTACCGTTCATATGTGGTAGTAACAAACCTCCATAAATAAAGAGGTGATAAAGTTGACATCAAATATCTGTGGGTAAACAGGTTTGTTTTTTAACAGCTAACAATAAATGTGCGAACAGCCATTTTATGTTAACTAGACCGCATTTTCATAACATTTTTATGTGCGCGCGTGTGTGTGTGTAGAGTTTGCTTCTGCTCAAATGTGTGTGTTTGACTGCACACCTGCTTCCGTCTCTGCATGTGTTTTGTTTCTGCCTTCAGCAATATGCACAGTTTTTAGTGCTGGTCATCTCCATGGAGAC